TACTACCCCTCCCCAAACACCCCATACACCCTTGACTGTAGCTACTGTACAAAGGTTAAGAGTCACCTCTGTTGTCTTACTCACCCTGGACCTACCCACCACTAGCATGTGGCCCTCATAAGATTGCCTACAAGGAAATGTGGCCCCTGGACTGAAAAGGGTTCCTCACTTTTCGTGACATGAAAGACCACCTGCTCTTTGACTTGTGACCCAGTGCTCACTTAGTAGCCTACTTGCTTCTTGCCAGCTCTTTCTCGCTCTCTTCCTTCAGTAACTTTGCCCAGGAGCTTTGCGTCTCTTGGCTCCACTACCCTCTTCCTTTTCAGCTTATTCTGCCCAGGCTGCATCTCTGTTGCTTCCCCCACCTCCTGACCATTTGTATCTACTAAGGATTTTCATCCTATCAGGCATTATGACCTTTTGCTTCACCTTTGGAAGCTGCAGTGTCTGTCAACATTCTATTCCGGCAGCGTTCCCCGAGCAGTAAGGAATGCTAACATCACAGGCAGATCAATGAATGGCTAGTTTCTCAGGGAAGCAAACAGTTTTCAGCCTATAGGCAGATAAATTACCTGAGCCCCAAGTGTCAAGAGATAACCTCTTCCTTAATATTCCAAACCACACAGTTTGTAAATCATTCTGTGTTAAATATGGTAGTACTATTTTGAAGTGGTATAGAGGATCTCAGTAATCCTCATTCCTACCCTGTAAGGCAGGCCAGCACTATTTTTGTAGGCGGGGTAGGGGGGGAAAGGAGCTGAGATTGAAAAATACTCAGTGGCCATATTCAGACATCACATTAAACCATGGTTTAGTGGAGCCAGGCCTACTCTCAGGCTCATGTGTTCCTCCCTTCCCCTCACACATGGTCAGGAGGATGAGTTTGGACTAACCTGAAAAAGGGTTTTACTAATCTATTGGGGGCTACCAAGAGAAGAACTGAATGTCGCATTCCTATGCTGGGCATGGAAGAAGCAAGATTCCTATCTCTAACAACCCCACTTTGCTGCTAGCCCTCCTCTGGCAGACCACTCACTTGCAATTCCAGGTCACTATAGGCCAGAGTGTAATTGAAAGAACGAGTTAAGGGATAGCAAAAGCTTCCAAGCTCCAATCTCTCTCAGTGGAGCAAAGATAGCAGAAGAGAGGGAGGACAAAAACCAGGAGACATAGACAGACATCTTCTCGACACACTAAACCATGGCTTAACACAGGGCAGGGAACCTGAAGAGGAGGATTATTAGTTTGTTTTGCTTTTGTTCTTCTTTTTATTGCATATTTGTGTTGTTTTAACTTGTATTTTTATTCTGTGAAATGCCCTGAGATCTTCAGACAGAAAACAAACAAGCAAGCAAATATAGACATCTAAGATTATAGCATCCTGGACCATTGGCCAGGTTGGTTGGGGTTGATGAGAGTTGGGAGTCCAAACAACTGGAGGGCACTATGATGAGAAAGACTGGCTTAAAAGTGCATGGCAAAGTATTCTGAACTCATTGGTCTCAGAATCAAAACCTGTAGCCAAGGACGTAGTCAACTGGGGATTTTTCTAGCCTTGAGACCTTCCATAAAAACAGAGTGAGGCTGAAATCACAGGTACACTGGGAGGCAAGCGCCACTGGTGTACGTTATGCACAAAACTGGGATGCAAAATCTCAGAGGAAACCACTTTAGTAGATGACCAAGCCAACGACTAATAGTTAAAACTTTCTCTCCTCTTCTCTCTTTCCTGACTGTATTTTCTCGCCAATGAGCCCAAGCAAATCACTATAATTAAAATTCTGAAGATAAAAGCATTTTATTGGTTTGCAAACCCTGGGTATTCATCTAACAAACTATTCGCCTCCCTCCTTAGTAAGACAAAGCAGAGCCACTGGAACAGAGGCGCTGAATTAAATGGGTAGTTAAAAAGGAAGGATGAACAATTTGGAGATGCTTTGTGCCTGGCTCCATAGCACATCGTGCACCCGTGGTAGAGAAGGACGCAGACCTATTGCCCAGCTTTACATGCAGAATTAATAAACTGCATCCACAACAATGGCCACAAGAAACAGGGTGTCAAGTCAGAGATGCTTCTTTTTCCGTTAGGGTGGGGGTTTGGGGGAGGAGATGCTGTGCCACTCCAGCTCCCCAGACCTCTGCTGTTGGTGACCCGGCAAAGTGGGAGGAAAATGGCTTAGTGACGGGCAAGCAACAGGCACATAAAACCCCCTCACACACAGAACTAGAAAAGCAATTACACGCCTTTGCTCTCCCATTCCTTTGTTTTTATAGGGCTTGTTTCGGAATCCAAGCAACTCTGTGCATTAGCGAGCGCAGGGAGAGGATGGTGGTGGTGATGATCAAGAATAGCTGTAATGATACACTTGGGGGGTGGAGGGCAATGAGACACAGCTGCAATACATTTTCATTGCCTCTCCGTTACAAGGTATTACACAATGCATGCTTTCCCAGAGGAATCCAAAGTCTGGACTCTCTTTGGGGATTGCTTTGTTTCCCCAGAGGGAAAAATTGCCTCTCCTCTACCCATGGCAGCTACATTGCCCGGGGTGTAGAATATAGGAAGTTGTTTTATACTGAATCAGACCATTGGTCCATCTAGCTCAGTATTGTCGGCACTGACTGGCAGAAGCTCTCCAGCATTTCATACATGGGTTTCTCCCAGCCCTAGCTGGAGATGCTGGGGATTGAACCTGTGACCCCCTTGATGTGGGGTAGCATATCTGCTCCAATAGAGTCTTTGTCTGTATTGTACACTTGTAAATAAAGCAAATATTTTTAAATGACATTCAAATCTTCAGTGATCTCTCCTCTAAAGAAAATCAAACCCACTGCCCCTGGAATCTATTATGACTCAGGGAAGCGGGGAAAGCACAACAAATATGTTTTTTACGGCATAACTCTTCTACAAGAAGTGTGATCACAGAATCTTACTGTCTAGGCTTGCTTTCAGGGCATGTGGATTTTTATGAGCACTACATGACATCACAGCATGCCAACCAATGGCTTTCAAAGGGGATATGCAGCCATCCAATCAGAGACTTTTTGCAGTCTCACAACTTGCAACCGCTGGGGTAGAAGCACAAATGATCAACTCACACTCAATGCTTTGGGGTGTGGGGGGTGAGATAGGAAATCACAATAAACAAAATTACCTTCTTTTCATGATACTAATATGCAAATCCTCCTCTTGCTTGACATCAGGGTGGTGACCGTTGACCTTGTCACTCTCCTCACTGTCGTCACTGTGTGAGAAAATAGAGGGAAGCTCTTTCTTTGGGGTCCTGGTAGGAGGCAAGGGGATGGTCCTCTTCTCAGCAAGGCGACCCCGATTCTGTGGAAGGGGAGATATCCGGAGTCGAAGGAAGGGAAGGGGGGAGAGAAAGAGGAAAAGATCAGATTAGGTGACTCAGTCAAGATGTGCTGAAGGGGGGAGGTTTTTTAAATAAAGTCAGTCATCTGTTGGGGTGGCTCTGTTGACACCTCCATAATCCCTATGCAAAACAAACTATAGTTAATGTTAATGGTGTGAACAAACCATCATCAAAGCTGAGGCGTACAGCAGATTATCAATTAGACCTTCATTTCTTACATTACAGAATGATTAAAAGCACCAGAAAAGGCTGCTGCGCCTTTGTCTGAATCTTTTGTGGCTCTTTATCCACAGCTCTATAGCTGTTGGGTGGTGATAGCTCCTTAACCAGTTTGGCAGGAGACTGGATTCCTATGCAATACTAAATTGTGGTTAGCATTAACTAATTTTGTAAACCAAGTAGATGCTTTAATTAATGAGTAATCTTTAAGCACAGTTAATAAACCATAGCTAAGCTGCAGGGCTCACAAGTACAGTGGAACCTTGGTTCTCGAATGCAATCCATTCGACTCCCAAAACCGAAACCAAGGCGCGGCTTCCGATTGGCTGCAGGAGCTTAAAGCGGAAGCCGCGTCAGTTGTTCGACTTCCGAAAAACGTTCAAAAACCGGAACACTTGCTTCTGGGTTTTCGGCATTTGGGAGCCGATTTGTTTGTCAACTAAGCAGTACGAGAACCAAGGTTTCATTGTAATGCTATGCCATGGTTTAATAAACCATAGTTTAATGCACCATGGTGCTTGGGAACCCTGAGAAATGGGAGGAAACAGCAGTGGATGGGAGACAGCAGAGGAAAAACGTGGCAGGCACAAAAGGGTTAAATACCCCTCCCACTTGCAACTCTAAAAATGCCTCCACCCCCCCCCAATATTTTACATACAGTATTCAGCAACCAACACAGGAAGGTTCCAAATATGCAACAAAGTATTCAGTTGCACCCTAACAAAAATGACACTCCTGGTTGTTTTTTAAATTGAAGCCATTCCTGGAAATCTGAGCACAGCACCTATACTGAGCATTTACTCCAGCAATTGATGCTTTCGCCAGGGACCCCCAGAGCTCAATGCCAAACCTCCCCGCTCCACCCCCACAGCTAGATGTCGCAGTGCACCTCTTTCCCGCTAAGTCACAATTTATCGCATCAATTAAGAGTCAGCGGCCTGCAAATTCCCAACACACAACTGCCACGGGACTGCCTCGAGTGCGGCTCCAGAAGCTGAGGAGGGGGACGGTGCCGATCTCAGCTCATAAAAATCATTTAATGGCCATTATGGTACCTAAGAGCAGTTACTTGGTCTCAGTGGCTGCTCAGGGACTCATCATACTTAACTAGAGAAGGGGGAAGGAACAGAGGGTGTGTGTTGGGGATTGAGAACAGCCCTGGCGGAAACTATTCAGAGCCCCACACACAGAGAAATAGGGGGTCCTGTTAAGCTTCCTTTAACAGCCCTGCCAGGCTCACAATCGGGGGTGGCTCAAGTGCACACTTATGGGTCAAGTGGCCTGCATTTGCGACTCTAACACAGCCTCTCCCCCAACTTGGTGCTCAGCTGCTTTGGACTACAGACACATTTACACACTGGACTTTCAAGCAGCAATGATCGGTTCTCACAGAATTGTAGAGCTGGAAGAGACCTTGAGGGTCATCTAGTCCAAACCCCTGCAATACAGTGGTACCTCGGGTTAAGTACTTAATTCGTTCCGGAGGTCCATTCTTGAGCTTGTTTGGAGGTTCTAGCAGGGGAGCGCAGCTATCGTATACCCTTGACCGAAGAACGGTACACTCCTTCTATCTGGGATGGTCGTCCTCTTCCACCGAGCGCGCAGCTTCGGGAGGGACACACATGGAGCGGTGAGGGAGGAAGGGGACACCCGCCTAGCCAGCCAGGTCAGCCGAATCAACCCTGGCGATCAATGGGGTGACAGATGTCGCAGCCAGATCGCCCTCACATCCCGTTCTGGAGGTCCATTCTTAACCTGAAACTGTTCTTAACCTGAAGCACCACTTTAGCTAATGGGGCCTCCTGCTGCTGCCGGAGCACAATTTCTGTTCTCATCCTGAAGCAAAGTTCTTAACCTGAAGCACTATTTCTGGGTTAGCAGAGTCTGTAACCTGAAGCGTATGTAACCTGAAGCGTATGTAACCCAAGGTATCACTGTACAAGAATCTTTTGCCCACTGTTGGGCTTTTTGCCCAACTTCTCTTCTGCACTAGGGCAGGGGCGTGCACACGCACACACACACACTGCTCCTGTTGCACTACTGCTGGCTGAATGCAGAGTGGCATGAAACTAAATTTTATTAAGTTGGGTCCATTATTTTCAACAGGTCCACCCGGAGTCAAACTTAGCTGAATGCCTCCCTATAATACCACAGTCATTCCTCCAGATTAACCTAACACATCAAAGTTAATGGGTTGTAGTCAATGCTAGTTCTACTCAGATTAGATTCCTAGCACTGCAAGCCAATGGGCAGGCTTGCAGTTTACTTCAGCATGATTCTAGTCCACTTTATTTAACCACCACTAGTGCTGATGTTTTGCAGATTACCAAATGTGTATTAAGAGTCCTGAAGACAACGGAATGTAGACAATGCTAGTCCTTTTCAGAGTAGACCCCACAGAAATTAACACAACTTAGGTCCATTCGTTTCAATGGATCTACTCTGAGTAGGATTTAGCTGCATGCAACCCAAAGATGTGACTAAGAACTTTGCATCAACATGTGAAACACAGTCCCACTCATATAACCTACTGCATAATTTCTATTACTGGCACACCACCCCAAACAATTGGAAATGTTCACAAACATTCCATGTCATCACAACACCTCAGCCAATGGCTAAGAGGCTTGCAAATAACCTGCCGCTGGTCTGAGCCTCACAGATACCATAGTGGAAAAGAGGTTTCCTAGTCACTAAAAATTAGGTGCTAGGAAAAAGTTGGCTGAATTCAAGGTCCTAATTTGTTCTGGGTTTGTTTCCTTCTCGGGGAGTAACACAGCAACTGAAGCATATATCAAACATCTGAAACATTTCACAGTTGCTAGTCCAGCATCCTGCCTGGGAAAACCATCACCACCGCCGGACATGCACAGCCTCCAAAAAATTTAAGAGAGTCCTAGCTTTGTTCACTTCCAGTACAAACACTGGATCAGCCCAAAGGAAGTCCCTTTGGATGTGGCCTCCTTTTATAACCCTGAGATAATCCTCCCTTGCTAATAAGAGTACTGTGCATCATTGTGTGCTGGGGGGCAGGGAAGAGACCCGAATTTTATCTTCTGCCTCTTGACTTATTATGTTTTTGAATGTGTTGATATGACAATTTAAGAAGAGCCAAAGGTCCATCTAGCCCATCATCCTGTTGGCCAGCCAGACGCAGTAACACATTCAAAAAGCAGGACAATCAGTGCAGCAGTATTCTCCCCATTAAAATTAATTAATCTAAGTTAGTAACATTCCTTTATTACATAGAACTGTGGAGTCGGAAGGGAGGACAGACGTCATCTAGTCCAACCCCCCTGCAGTGTAGGAATCTTTTGCCCAACGTGGGGCTCAAACACATGACCCTAAGCTAAAGAGCCCCACATTCTTCCGATTGAGCTATTCTGAGTTCTCTTAAACTGGTCTACTCTGATTAGGATTAATAATGACTACAAGCCTACCTCTTTCCCCCAATCACATCTCATATTTGCTTAAATCTGCAGCTCTAAGCTGAGAGCGTGTGTCATATTCTGCTCTGATCTGCATTAAAGGCAACTGGTGAAACTTATCAAATGCCACACAATTAAATCCGAGGCCTCCTTTGAGCCTGAGGGCCCGGCAAATGGCCCTCCCGCCTGACCACTGCTCCTCGCTCTAATTGGCCCTGGTGAGAGCTAGAGTTTAAATATGCATTTTAATAATATGTCATTGCTTTGGTTTTATCCCCATGTTGAAGAGCACTCCGGGTCTCCCAAGAAGACGGAAATCAAAGATGGAAAGGAGGCTAAAATTTCCACTCAAAGAGGAGCCAGTCAAGGATAGCCATGTTGTTAAGACAAAAGCACCCCCAAACCACCCACCCAAACTAACCCTTCCATCGTAACTCCCACATGAAGCCACATTTTCCCCAGCCCATTTAAAAAATAAAAAGAGAAGACGACGTTTTTCCGCAGCAGAATAGGAAATAACCAAGACGGATCTTCCAGATGAGAACGGAGGGTTGGAAAGTACAAGAACAAGGGGGAGGAGGAAAGGAAGGACCCCTGTTCTCAGAGGGAAGGTCAAAGCGTATCAACGCCCTGGTTGTGATGTAGCACAGCTGCCAGAAAACGAGGAAGGATTCCTTCCAGCAGGTCCCCGGCGAGCATTTAATTGATCCCAGAGACGCCGAGGCCTCAGCTAGGGCGGAATTTGCAATGTGTTGGTTGGGGGGGGGGAGAGAGACGGGGGAGAGTGAGAGAGACCAGAGAGAGACGCTTATGTGAGGTCATGTGGTGGGAAAGGCTGGACATGGGGGGGGGGCAGAAAATATTGCATCTTGACAGAGGACAGGGCATCTTCACTGTGGCTACCAGTCACACTGGTTATGTTCTTCCTCCCCGGTCAGAGACAGTATGTCAGTTGCCGGCACCAGCAGGTGAGGAGAGCTCTTTTGTGCTCAGGTTCTGCTCACGGGCTCCCCATATGCACCTTGTTGGTCAACAGGTCAGCCTCTGGCCTGACCCAGTAAATCTCTTATTATGTTCATATAAGTATAAGTAGCAGTGAAGGAGGGCTGTTGCCTGTGGGCTTCTTTGAGCCATCTGGGTGTCCACTATGGAAACTAAATAAAAAAAAATTAGCACTATGGAAACTGTACTAGATGGGCCTTTGGCCAGATCCAGCTACAGGCTGCTCTTATGTGGAGAAGGGAAGCCAATTCCTGAGTAGTTTAGCTCCAACCAACACACTTTTCGCCTTCCTGGCAAATAAATAAATAAAGGCAGCTGCAAACACGTATGCAGGAGAGGTTGTATAGAGCTCAGTGGCAGAACACGTACTTGGCATGCAGAAGGGACTGGGTTCTTCTCCTACTTAGCTAGACTCCGTCTCGTGGGTCCCTTGCCATCTGTAAAGATGCCCCCCCCCCCCCATCACTGCCTGGTCATCTCACCGAGCCTCTTGGGTGGAGGCCGAAGGTGCTTTTTGCCTACCATCACCACAGACCACAGAGAGAGAGAGAAGTCAAATGAGCTCCATATGGAGAGGAGGCCCCAAAGTTTTCATTCCCTTGTTTTCATTCCCTTGTTACTGACACACGAAGGTTTGGTTGCCCTCCAGGAGCCTGGAAACCACGGCTGGGAGGAGAAAAGGGAAGGCCCACAAATTTCTTATTAAGAAGCCATACTAAGAGCTCCTCAGAGAGAGTCCTCTGTCCTTCCCCGATTCCCGCCCCCCGCCTGTTTTAAAGCCAGCTGCGATTACCAAAAGGGTCACACCAGGTGCCCAAATAAGCCCCCCGTCTCTCCCCCAGGCCTTCATTACACATCGCAAGCCAGCGTCTCAATGCCACCGATTTGTTTCGATAGCAAATCCAGGGGCTGGGGCAGCCCTCGCCTCACTTCCTGGTGCTTAACCAGCTTTGCTATTAAAACCCAGGCCGCTGATAAAACAAGCTTCTCGGGTTCCGTGCCGTCCTCTGCTCCGACGCTCAAGTAATGAGGAAATGAATAAAAGAAGAGGCAAGCTCTCTCCGCAGGCTTTGCTGCCAAGCACGTTTCCCTCATCACCTGTCAAAAGCGGCCTAGTTCCTCGCCCGATTGCTAATGCAGTGCATCTCTCATACGGATAGGAATTCACACTGTGCAGCCACAAATGAAGCCAGGCAACCCTTATGGCAGGAGGTCTTGGGAGAAATGGGGGAAAGTTAGGTAGAGCCCAAAGGGCACATCTTGCTCTGCAGAACACCCACATGCACACACTTCCACAAAATGACAGGGGAGGAGAGTCATCTTGTGGTGAGGTCCTGTTTGTGGGCTTGCTTACCACCGGGGTATTTGGTTGGCCACTGTGAGAACAGGACGTTGGGACTTGATGGGCCACTGCCTTGTTCCAGCACTCAGGCTCTTATGTTTTTATAGGAATTACAGTGGTACCTTAGTTCTTGAACACAATTTGTTCCGGAAGTCCGTTCAACTTCCGAAACGTTTGAAAACCGAGGCAGGGCTTCTGATTGGCTGCAGGAGCTTCCTGCACTCAAGTAGAAGCCGCGTCGGATGTTCGGCTTCCGAAAAACAGAACACTTACTTCCGGGGTTTCAGAGTTCAGGAGCAGATTTGTTTCTTAACTAAGTCATTCGAGAACCAAGGTTCCACAGTATTCTGCTATCCTAAACATGTCTTCTAGGGACTAAGCCCCACTGAACACACCGGGGCCCACTTCTGTCTAATCCTTAGGGATGGGGCAAACTTTTCAGTTTTGGTTTCTCTCTGTTTTTCATTAAGTTCAGCTCTCCACAGTTCCCCATCAATTTGCAATTTTTATTTTTTTTAAAGTCCTCCTGAAAATTAGCATGAATTTCTCCCAATACACAATTCGTTTTATTACAGTTTTGTCTAATGTACACATTGCAAAGCAATTTCCCTTAACATAATGCATATTTTACCCTAACATATGCATTCTGATTTCTGGGGCACTTTACCCAGCTGGAGAACTGATCTGCAAAATTCTGAAAAGTGTGAACTTCAAACGGGGGCTGTGCTTAGGTTCTTGTATTGTTTCAGATTGTTAAAAGGGGTTTTGCCTTTTAATGTAAACTGAATCAGATTTCTCCCCTAGCTCTAGTAATAGCACAAAGCGCTGTAGCATTAGCTGCCTTCTGCTATGGACTTGACAGCAGTAGCCAATATGTGGACAGAAGTCCATGAAAATTTCTGCCATAAGAAATGGCAGTTAATTTGCTGGTATTCCTTCCGAAGACTGTTCATATTATCA